CCCATTTGAAAATTAAAAAGTATAATTTTATTATCGGCATCGTTCTCTATGTAGGTCGCAAACATAGATCCAATCATTCCGTCGATTCTGATTAAATTGAGCACGATTTCTGCTTGTGCTAGCTTGTGTATCCTTTCAGCGTGAATTTTACTGAAATCATAGCAAAGAAAAACATTGGAAATTTTCTGTTATATTTGTTCTTCTCACACTCTCGTAGGTCTTCCATCATTTCTATCACTCCGTGCCAAATCATTCAAACCTCCCAGGACTTCATCAGAAAAACTTTCGCAATTGAGAATTGTGGAGGTTTCAATTTCAAGAAATTCCAAGTTTTGAAGTTTACTTCCCTTCTGCCATTCTTTCAATATCGTGTTGATATCCTTTGGGGTCAATTTTGAGCTACCTAAGCAGATTATGGAATTTGTTCCATTGAGAATTGAAGGTAAAGTGAACCAAAAGGAGTTGCTGATTGAAATGGAACGAGATTGAATAGGTTCTATATGTTGAAACTTCTCATCCGTCGCTATAGATAGAAACCGAAAATAGTCGGTGACTTTCAGACTGTTTAAAATAGTATCTAAAGCTTCAACAGAAATAACATAGCTGCGAATCCAGAGGTATCGAATTGTTGGTTGCAATTTTATAATCCATTCGATAAATGATTGCTCAGCAATTTGGATGTCGAATATTGGAGAGCGAAACACTTTGCAGATGTGTTCAACCTTTTTTTTTCATTTCTTCGATGGCATTTCCATCATCCTTCATAAGTAAATAATGATTCACTTTTGAGCCAATTTGAACTGATTGAATGCCAGTTTTTTTAATCCTATTATACTCAATCAAACATGTTTGCTGTGGATGACTGGGAAAGTTCAAGCGCATGAAACAATTCCAACGAAACAATTCCAAGCGAATGCTCAGCAGACTCCAACGAATTACTGCAGCAATTGATTTCGCTCGTTTTGAAAGAAGAGAGAAGAGGATTCTGGAAAACTTGGGACAGTTTGGGTTTTGACCATACATGTCGCGGCCCCGCTGGCCCGGGTTTCTGAGGCAAAACTTTTTAAGACGCATTCTCTGTAGAACTCAACTTCACGCCTATTATCCACTTTGCAGAAAAATTCAAACTTGCTTTTTCTGGCTGATTTTTCATATATTGCATGTTTATGGACTTCTAAGGTATATGAGATGTAGTTTGTCCCGACTTGTCCCACAACTGCAAAAATATGGTCGTGGGGTGTCTAAAAAAATTTTTTTCAAAAGTGAAATAACGATTAGGTCTTATCGTAGAACGTTTTTAGGCACTATTTTTTAACATTTTTTGTATTGGCACTACATTTATGTTCTTCCATCTTCCCTGGAAAAATTTCAGTTTTTTGCAAAAAAGCATACTTGTAAAATTCCGTGCCGGCCCGCCGAAGCCCGGGCCTGAGGAAATTTTCAAGGCCCGGGCTCGGCCCGGAAGGCCCGGTAGCAAAGTCATTTTGAGCCAAATTTTGAGCTCTCAATACAATTTTCTCCATTATTTTTTGTGTTTTGGATTCTTTTCGAAAAAAAATTTTTGATCGAAAGAAATCACATAAGGTACCCCTTATGTGTTTTTTGAAATTTTCAAAACTTGTGGAATGACAGGCCCGCCGGGC